AGATCAAGTAACGGGACAAAACTTTTCGACGGTTATAAATGAAAAATCATGATTTAATGGTTATTTTAACTCCGATTTTGATGATTTTTTACCGCTACACTCCTTTACCCTATATGAATACAATGACTGCATTTGATCTTCAATTTATAATATTTACACTAGTGGATACTACAAAATCTTATGTTATATTTAACAAAAGTATAAATAAACTCTTAATTGTTAGTGAATATATTGTTTTGATGGCATACACATTCTACGAAACTAGTTTGAACGATCCAACCGTCAAACTTGTTTGTTTATACTTCGAGATCATATATGCCAAAAATCGAAAAAAATAAACATTCAGAGATCAAGTAATGAGACATAACTTTTCGACGGTTATAAATGAAAAATCATGATTTAACAGTTATTTTAACTCCGATTTGATAATTTTTTATAGCTACACTCTTTGACCCTATATAAATACAATGAACTAATTCGATCGTCAATTTAAAAAATATATTTTCTAACAAAAACCCAATCCAAACAACAATAATACATTTTTCTAACAAAGATTTTAAAAAATATATTTTATAAGGACTTTGCGCGACGAATTTTTTTCCGTCGCGCAAAGCGTCTTGCACGACAAATATTTTTTGGTTGCTTAAGACTTTGCGCGACGACGTATTATCATCGCGCAAAAGTTGGTCGCGCAAGGTTTTTAACGACGAAGTTTTGAGTTTCGTCGCGCAAAGTGACTTTGAGTGACGAATAATTTTTCGTCGCGCAAAATTTGGTCGCGCAAGGGTTATTTTGTAGTAGTGGCTGGGATGTGTTGTGAAATAATAAATAAAAACGAAGTTTCTTATGCCATTTTCAGGGCAACTATGTACCATCTATTAGGAATATGTCCACTGTTGCTTCTGTAGGCATCGGAAATAAGGAGGGATTGAAGCTTCCTGTAAATGAAGGACCTCATGCTCAGAAAATGGTTGGCATTTGGCTTTTTGGCTCTGTTGCATGGGTGTTTAGTATGGTGATACTTGGCGGGATTACACGACTAACGCGATCTGGTCTTTCAATGACTGATTGGAAATTTACTGGGGGGCTTCCTCCTCTCTCAGATGAGGATTGGTTGCTTGAGTTTGAGAAGTACAAGCAGTCCCCTGAGTATAAGTGGTTAGTGCAAAGTGGAAACGGCACTGTACATTTTTGCAGCAATTGTTTTAGTTTTGATTTTAAGCACTTTGTAGCTCATAGTGATCTGCCTCTAAACTTGAAATTACATTAAAAGTCTTCCAGAATTGCTTAAGTTTGAATACAAATGCAATCCTCTATTAGGTGGAAGCAAAACAGAAAATATGTGCTTTGAACTGAATGACTATATGAGTGATGGTGTCTATCTAGCTTTTGTAGTCGACTTTAACCCAGATTTGTAGGATTGACGAATTACATATTTGATATTACATTGTTGCTTTCAATGGGAGTTGAAGTTCTTTTGGACCCTTATAATGTTACCTGGTTCTTGATCTCATGTAGTGTAAATCGAGGGATGAGTATTGAAGATTTCAAATTCATCTATTGGATGGAATATGCACATCGAATATGGGGAAGGGCACTGGGAATTATGTTTGCGTTGCCCTTGTCATATTTTCTCCGTAAGGGGTATATTACCATACAGCTTGGACTGAGACTGTCTGCTCTTTTTGCTCTTGGTGCTGGGCAGGGTTTAATTGGCTGGTGGATGGTTAAAAGTGGTTTAGAGGTCAGTTATGGTTTCTTTTGTCGTGTTTTTGATTGAAATTTAATAAAAGCGATGAATTTTTGAAATAATTCTCTCTCACGGGAGCCAGCATCTGAATATTCTCAGCCAAGAGTAAGCCCTTACCGTCTTGCAGCTCATCTTACTTCACCCTTTGCTATATACTGTGGCCTTTTATGGACAGGTCTTTCTGTTGTCATGCCTGAACCACCTTCTGAATCACTAGCTTGGGTTCATGGAGCAGTAAAGGTGAAGCGACTTGCTCTTCCTGTAAGCTTACTTGTCGGAGTAACTGCTGTCTCTGTAAAATTGGTAAGAAAAGATATTTGACCAGAATAATTCTCATTGATCATTGATGTATGTTTATATAATACATTCCGTAGGTTTCTCCTACAAGTAAGCTAACTAGCTAGGAAAGAATATATACAGGAAATCAAATAATATAACATTCTTATTCTATTATACAATCCCTAAACTAAAGGATAACATCTTGGATTTTGTCTCTGATAAAATGACAATCCATTTCAATGTGTCGTGTTCGCTCATGTAAAACAGGATTTGCTGCTATATGTAATGCAGCTTGGTTGTCGCAATGAAGTATTGCTGCCTTCCGATGTGGCAACTGAAGATCTCGTAACAAACTACGCAACCAAGTCAATTCACAACAAGCACCAGTCATAGCTCTGTATTCTGCTTCTGCTGAAGAAAGTGAAACAGTTTTCTGTCTCTTTGATCTCCAAGAAATCAAGGAGTTTCCAAGAAAAACACAATATCCAGTGGTAGATCTTCTGGTGGTTGGACAACCTCCCCAGTCAGAATCACAATAAGCTCGCAATCTCAAGTCATTTTGAGCTGGAAAAAATAAACCTTGTCCTGGAGTGTTTTTGAGGTACTTCAAGATGCGCAACGCGACCTCCATATGAGGTTTACGTGGCTCATGCATAAATCTACTGAGCACATGTACTGCATATGTAATGTCTGGTCTCGTGATGGTCAAGTAAATCAAACGACCCACTAACCTTCTGTACTTGGCTGGATCTTTAAGCAATTCACCTGTGTCAGATAATTTCAAATTTTGTTCCATGGGAAATAAGACAGGTCGTACCCCAAGAAAACCACTATCTTTAAGGATGTCAATGGTGTATTTCCTCTGAGAGATGCTAATGCCTTTCTTTGAACGCGAAACTTCAATACCCAAAAAGAATTTAAGGTCACCGAGATCTTTAATGCGGAAGCGAGTATGAAGAAAACGTTTAAGAGAATTAATGGCACCCAAGTTATTTCCTGTGATCAATATATCGTCAACATAAATCAAGAGAGCAATGAATGACTTTCCTCTTTTGCATATGAATAAGGAATAATCTGCTTTGGACTGAGTAAAACCAGCAGCTTGAATAGCTTCAGAAAATTTTGCAAACCACTGACGAGAAGCTTGCTTGAGGCCATATAAAGACTTATGGAGGGTTCAGACCAAAAAAAAAAAAAAAGACTTATGGAGGGGACATACCAGATTCTCCCCCTGTCGCTGAAGACCAGGCGGTGGTGTCATATAAATCTCTTCATGGAGATCCCCATGAAGGAAGGCATTATGGACATCGAGTTGATGAATGGGCCAAGAGGAAGCAGCGGCAAGTGCAAGAAGGCTGCGGACAGTAACCATCTTGGCTGTAGGAGAAAAAGTATCATGAAAATCAACACCTTCTGTCTGTGTATAACCCTTGGCGACTAACCGAGCTTTGTACCGTTCAATAGAGCCATTAGAATGATGTTTGATCTCGTAGACCCACCGACAACCAATAGGGTGCTTACCAGGAGGAAGAGAAGTAAGAGTCCATGTATGATTGGACTCTAAAGCTTGAAGTTCAGAGCTCATGGCTTGCTGTCAGTTAGGATCAGAATTGGCCTCAGAGAAAGAACGTGGCTCCACACTGTGACTGAGTTGAGTAATGAAAGCAAGATGTGCTGGTGTATAACGATGATAAGAAATAAAGTTGCTCAAGGGATAACGAGTACCTGAGGTGCGATGTGAAGACGAAGACTCCGATTGGGCAGCTTTGGGTAGCGTGACTTGAGAGCAAACATAGTCTTGGAGGCGCACATTCAGAACCTTGTGACATTCAGATTGGCGAGGGGGTTGAACGGGTGGTGCTGGAGAAGGTGGTGCAGTAGGTGGAAGAGAGGATTGGATTGCAGGAAGATCTGGTGCTGGAAGAGAAAAATTTGTAGGAGGCGTAGATGGAGTGGGACGCATGGGACTAATAGGCAAAGTGTGCTCTGTGGGCTCAGGAGCTAGATTGGAATGTTGTGGTGGAGATGAGTCATGGGCCGAAATGGGTAAAGGAAGGCTAGTGTTTGGGATGGTGGTGGGACCAACAATTGCAGTAAAAAAAGGAAAGACATCTTCCTTAAATAAAACATCTCGGCTAGTGAATATTTTTTTAGTGGACAAATCATAGAGCTTATATGCCTTTTGGCCAACTGGGTACCCAATAAAAATAGATTTAACTGCTCGAGAATCAAACTTTTTGGTAGGGTGAACTATAGTAACATATGCAAGGCAACCAAATACTCGTAAATGTGAATATGATGGGGTTTTGTGATATAAACGTTCAAAAGGGGTTTGTTTGGAAAGAACTAAAGTGGGAAATCGATTAATCAAATGAACGGCAGTGAGAATGTATTCCCCCCAAAAACGGAAAGGCAAGTGTGCTTGAAATCGCAAAGCACGTGCGGTCCCAAGAATATGGCGATGCTTACGTTTGACAACACCATTTTGTTGGGGTGTGTAGATGCAAGAATGTTGATAAATGGTGCCTTGTTCTTTAAAAAAATCACGCAATGAAGAAAATTCACCCCCGTTGTCTACCCTAATTGCTTGGATTCTAGCAGTGAATTGGGTCTGAACCATGGAAAAAAAAGACTTTAGAAGCCCTTGTGTTTCATGCTTATGATGCATAAGGAAAACCCAGGTAAAACGAGAATAATCATCCACTATAGTTAAAAAATAACGAGCCCCAGAAAGGGAAGGAACTTTGTGAGGTCCCCAAATATCACAATGAATAAGGGAAAAAGGTCTCGAAGTTGAAATTTAACTAATGCCAAAAGGAAGGCGAGTTTGTTTAGAAAAATGGTAAGCATCACAAACATTATGGAAAGAAAATGAACAATTCAAATGTTTTGCTAAAAATTGTAAACGAGAGGATGAAAGATGCCCTAAACGGCGATGCCATAAATCTCCAGGAGTTGTAACGAAGTGACATGAAGGTCGGGTGGTGGATGGTGTTCTATCAGACGCCAACGCCACAAGGTAGTAGAGTCCATCACGCTCCTTACCCAAACCAATCGTCGTCCTCGTCTTCAAATCCTGTAAAATACACCAAGTGGGAAAGAAAATTATTGAACACTGTAATTCTTTCGTAAGTCGACTTACGAACATCAGATTAACTTTAAATGTAGGCACACATAACACATCTTGTAAATAAAAATAAGAGTTCAAAGGAAAAGTCCCAGTAGACGCAATTGGTGCTGTTTCTCTACTAGGCATAGTGACTGGCAACATAGAGGAAGTACTCATCCTCTTGGTAAGTAATATCGAATTCGATGTAATATGATGAGTTGCTCCACTATCAATTATCCAATGTAAATTGGGTAACAATTCGGAAATACATGAAGAAGTTAAGGCGGTATTGGCTTGTGGTGCAACGTGAGATGGATCAATGTTGTCACTCATCATGGCATGAATTTTCTTACATTGATCCTCGGATAAAGATGGCATAGCTGTATGAATCTCCTGCAAGGATGGACCATTGGAGGCCACATTATTGGCGGAACCGCTGCTAACTTTCCCTTTGCCTTTCCCAGATTTGTGAAGCTTGTGTCCAGGGGGATAGCCATGTAGCTTATAGCACTTGTCCACTGTATGATGATCCCGATTGCAATGGCTGCAGTGAAGAGGTTGGCGCCCAAAAGAATTTGAACGCTGATTGTTTCGAATCGCCATAGCTGCTGGTTCGGTGATTGCTTGGCTGGAACCCAAGTCACGCTGCTTTTCTTCCTGGGTGATCAAAGAATAAGCCTTGCGAACCGTAGGGAGAGGCTGCATAAGAAGTATCTGGCCTCGAATGGCGCTGTAGGACTCATTAAGCCCCATAAGGAACTACATCAACGAGTTCTGTTCCTCCTGTTCGACATGCTTCTTCATGGCACCGCAAGAACAAGCTGGAACATCGCTGTAAGAAGACAGCTCATCCCACAAACTCTTCATCCTGGTATAATAAACAGCAACAGACATCTGCTCTTGTGAGAAGGAAGCTATGGTGCGTTGTATCTCGAAAATACGAGGAGCGTTAAGTTGGGAAAAACGTTCTTTAAGGTCCTCCCAAATCTCTTGTGCGGTGGAGGAGTATAACATGCTTTCTGCAATATCTGGTTCTATCGAATTGAGCAGCCAAGATAAAACCATGTCGTTGCAACGCTGCCAAACCTCAAAACTCTCAGGCTTAGTTTTCTCCGAAGGGGCTTTGATTGTCCCATTCACGAACCCTAATTTGTTCTTCGCGCTTAGGGAGATGGGCATAGAGCGACACCATGTCGCATAATTGTTTCCATTAAGGATTTTGGAAACAAGAACCATTCCAGGATGATTGGAATGGTGAATGAAAAAGGGATCGGAAGCATCGTTTTTGCTTCCTGATGCAGCGGATTCTTGGTCTTTGGTCATGGTGGCAGCGGCAAGGAAAAGATGAAAATTAGGGTTTAAAGATGATTATTTGACAGGTGCGGCTAGAGCCAAGAGCTAGAGTTTCCTCTGCTCTGATACCATGTAAAATTGGTATGAAAAGATATTTGACCAGAATAATTCTCATTGATCATTGAGGTATGTTTATATAATACATTCCGTAGGTTTCTCCTACAAGTAAGCTAACTAGCTAGGAAAGAATATATATAGGAAATCAAATAATATAACATTCTTATTCTATTATACAATCCCTAAACTAAAGGATAATCTTTGATTCTCAACAGTCTCAGGAGCATTTGTTGCCGGGAATGATGCTGTATGTATATTTTGTTTTCCTTCTTGCCTTTCACAATGAACTGAATGGATGGTATGTGACTTTTCCTGAGTAGGAGATTATAAATATTCTTGTGTGTGAAAATTCCAGGGGCATGCTTATAATACTTTTCCAAAGATGGGGGATACATGGATCCCAGAGGATTTTTTTGACATGAAGCCACTAATCCGGAACTTCTTTGAGAATACATCTACTGTGCAGGTATCTTTCTGACCAGAGAATATATTTTATTTTTGTTTTTTGCGACTTAATGTTGCTATATGTTAGCTCTAAGGTTGCTTTTCTGATGACAAGGGATAAGGGAGTTAAAAATTTGAAAGATGTCTGATTTTAAGTTTCTTCCTTCACTATAAAACATCTGTTTTCTGTAGGAACAAATGAAATGTGATTATGTTATCATCTTTATAAAAAAGTTATTGTTTTTAAGGCCATTGAAATGCGTTTCGGCTAGCAGCAGTTTCTGTGTCTTCTTTGAGCTTACACTGTAATTTCTTGTGATGAAAACCATTTTCTTTAGGCGACTGTGCTTTTGTGAATGTATATTAGCTTGTTCTGTAATCTTTTCAAATTTCAAACATGTAGTAGGGTTGTGATTAATTATTGTTCTTCCTGTTTGTAGCTTGATCATCGTATCCTTGCAACTGCAACTTTATTTTCAATTGGTGCTTTGTGGTGGTCAACAAGGAATTTTGACATACATCCTGCAGTTCGGTCTTTGATTGGAAGTGCTGTTGGCATGGCTGGCCTTCAGGTATATATGGTTTCCAACTTTTCATTCCTTTTTTTCCTCTTCTCCTTCGAATTATTTATTTAGTTTGACCAGGTTGATTTTAATTGCTTTGCACAATTCGTTGTGTTATTGTTGCAGGTTTCGCACACCCAACTTGACAAGCGAGTCGCAGAACACCATACTTGGGAAGCACCGATTGTAGAGATGGTCTTTTCGTCAACCACGAGTGAAACAAGTGACAAGCCAGATAAGGCAAAACACAGAAACTATGTGAGCACGGCAATAGGTAAGGTAGAATACAGAAACCCTGTGAGCACGGCAGTAGATAAGGCAGAACATAGAAACCCTGTGAGCACGGCAATAGGTAAGGTAGAACACAGAAACCCTGTGAGCATGACAGCAGATAAGGCAAAATACAGAAACCTTGTGAGCACGACAGTAGATAAGGCAAAACACAGAAACCCAGTGAGCACGACAGTAGGGAGCACGGTAGATGGTTGCAGCAGACTAGGATTATAGGCTAGATGTATAGTGCAACGGAAATAGGTGGTGTTTAGGGTTAGGGGTTTTTTTTTTTTAATGTTGTAGAGACGGATCAAAACACAAAACATCATCGGCAAGGACCATAGCAACATTCAGTGAAGCAAACAAAGGAAACATCAATGGCGGCGGCAATGGCCACGACAACGGCAACGACCACAGAAACGGTAGCTAAAAACAATGACAAATTCTTCCATATCAACTTTAGCTAATTCACGCAGACACAACTTCTCTACCAAGATTGCAGAGAGTTTCTTGGGGTCATGAATGTCATGGTTTTACATATTTGCTAATTTACATATATTTACAAGGTTGCCTCCATTATCTACAAATTACAAACAGAATACAGAGTAAAAACCTGCAAATATCATAACAATATCATAATTTGATAACCTTGAACATTGATTTTCTTCATATATAGGAAATTTTATCAGGTTGCCCTTGGAATTGCAAGCATAGGGAGGCTGCCATCTATGTGAAGGGTGAACATGGTCCTATATGTTACAGCTTTTGTTTCATCAGCCAATTTGAAGCGGAAGAAGCAAAGAAGAGCCATTGCTACTATCTTCATCTGCCGGTAAGCAAAGTCCTTCCCTAGACAGATCCGAGGACCTGCCTGCAAGTAGCACCAATTCAATGAAACAACTATTAGTGAACATTAGGATGATTAAGCTATGTGCCAAAGAAAAAGAAAATAAGTTACATACGTGAAATGCGACAAATTTGAAGGGTGATTCAGGCTGGAAAATTCCATTTTTGAGCCATCTTTCAGGCCGGAAATCGTCAGCATCTTTTCCCCAAATATAAGGCATTCTGCCCATGGCATAGGCCATGTAGTTTACTCCATCTCCTTTTCTCACTCTAAAGCCGTCAGGAAGAATGTCATCTACCTCTGCAAATCTCCCATCCTAAGGGGAAAGCCAAACACACAAAGAAGTCAATATTTTCAGTGCTTACGCATTTGGCCTTAACTTTAGTATATGAAAATTTCACCTTAATGTACAGAACCATAGATATTGAACTCATTTCCCTAATGGAAACTGAAGAATAATTAGACTTAAACATCTATGGTTTAATAATAGCCAACACAATGGGGTACTTTCAAGGAATATTTCTCTTGTGGCGTTGGTTTTGATATATTTAGCACATATTTTATCAAGGCTTTGGCACTGTCCTGTTAGGTTCTTACAATCAACTATAACAAATTACAATATCTCATTCAAAAACTATCCATAAAGAAAATTAATACAGGGTTATTGGAGTATATACATACAATGGGAACTGCAGGGTATAGCCTCAACGTCTCTGTCAGTGCCGCATGAAGATAATGCATTTGTTCAAGAGTTGCATCAGTAATGTTCTCCACAAATTCATTGATTTTCGCTTCGCCGGCCTGATTACCAACAACATCCCTCACTTCTTGTACAACTTTTTCCTGCATTAGAGGGTTCTTGCTGAGCAGGTAAAAGAACCATGAGAGTGTATTTGCACTGGTGTCTTTGCCAGCAATCATAAAATTCAGAATGATGTCCCTTAGATATTTGTCATTAATTTCCTCTGGATCCTTCTTGCTCTCCAATAGAAACCTTGATAGTATGTCTTCCTTGTCATTCTTTGAAACATAACATAAAATTCAAAGTTTCATTAATAAAACTAATGCTATAAAATGGAAGCTTCAATGCAGAATCGAAAGAAAAAAAAATTATATAACCACATGCAAAGCCACTATACAGGTGTAAAATTCGCTTACAACATCCTTTTGCTGCTCTAGCAATTTCCTCTTGCTTCTGATAACTTGGTGCACAAAATCATCAATGACTTCGACATACTTTTTAAGGGAGGCCTCGGAACCAAGGTTGAGAATTCTTTTCAGTTTCCAGAATGGATCAACATAACGGAAATTGGTTAGAACAGTTGATTCATCAAAGGCCTTCATAAATGCAGTCCCTTCTTTGCTTGACCCCTCCAAGCAATTCAGGTCTATTCCAAACCCAACTTTGAATATGGAGTCCAAGGTACATCTCATGAGCAAATCCTACAAGAAGAATCATAAACAAGAAAAAATAAATAACAACTTATATCATTACATCAGCTGTTACGAAATCAGATTCATCTTCTATTTTCCAAGTTACTTACAAAATAGACAGAAAATCCTAAACTTTTGGAGTTTACAAGCTGAGTACTTTTATGGCATGATACATCCCCTAATTTCAAAGATCATGATTTCTTCTCTATACTCTTTTGTACCAAAAACCAGCCAAAATTAAAGTTGATCTTAGGTCAGCCCTCTAAATTGATTAATGTTTATCAAACCAACTTGATCAAGGGGACAGTATGTGATTTAAACAAGACCAGAAGACAAATGTTAAATTTAGTTATGCTATTATTAAATAACCACTATGTGATTTAAACAAGACCAGAAGACAAGTTACAAACAAGAAAAGATATGTTGGCGACTTCAGATTACTGACTTGCATATCGAAAACCCCCCTGGCAACCGAAATCTCAAAAATAACTTTAACCAGTTTGGCAGCATTTCTTCTAAACACAGAGCAGCTAACATCTCTAAGAACTCTCGTCGAGAACTCAAAGCTCGCGAGCTTCCTCTGCTGCTTCCACTTTTCTCCATCAACAACAAATATCCCTTGGCCAAAAATATCAGACAGAATAGCTTGGTTATACTTCCCTTTCGAATAGCTGCCAAAGTTGGTCTTCAGAACATGCTCAATGTTTCGCGTGTCAGTTGTGTATACTGCACTGTGGTCCGGGGCCAAAAGCCTGTAAGTTGAGTGTTCTTTGGCAACTTCAGTTTGGTAGTCATAGAGTCTGTCGAAGTATAAGAGCTGGTGGAAGACAGTGCCTTTTACAGGTGGGTAGTTCGGGTTTCTGATGGACTTGCCTGTGAAGATTCTAAGTATGAAGAGGGACAAGGTTAGGAAGAGAAAGAACAATATGAAGGTGAAGATATAGAAAATACCCATCTTTCTTTTAGCTAACTAGAGGCCTTACAAAGTATATATAAATAACGTTGCAAGGTTGCAAACTCTGAGAGAGAGAGAGAGAGAGAGAGAGAGAGAGAGAGAGAGAGAGTTTTGGGCTCTTAGCTAAGGTTGCAAACTGAAAGTGAAATGAAGAGAAGAACAAAATGCAACCAGACAGCACTCTACGTTGATCTATAATATAATGTTATTTATTTTTCCTTTTCGATTTCAATTAGTTAAAAGAACTTGATAGAGTTGGTAGAAGTTAATTGTAGGCATCATGAACTTGATAGAGTTGGACATTGTTATGAGCATTATTGGTTTGGATATAAACAAGTCAATGGTTTTTTTTTATGAGCATTATTGGTTTGGAAGGTTCATGGCTTTACCGAATATGCTTATGTATTGGTAATTACATATTACAACAAGGTTGTTTCTATTAAAATATAACATATCACATGCTATCGTGTCATTTAATTGTATATACATAAAGATAGTGTTCACACTCCAATATCACGAGTTGATCATGTTAATCTTGAAAGCTATAACATGTTGAACACTAACCTGAGTCTGACATGGTGCTGAAGCAGATTGAATTGCGCAAAGGTATAGAAGATTCTTTTCCTTAGAAAATCGATCCTTATAGCTATAACTCTAATGGGTGAATTTCTGATTAGTTTAGTTGTATCGGATCTAGGAGGGAGCCTTCTATTTATATGCATCTCTCTAAATGTCTTGCCCATCAAGAAACACTTAGAAATATCCTTGATGTGATAGTATTAATCTGTTCCAATCCTTGTAGAACTAGGAACCCTTAAGCCTTTTATTAACCATCTTAAACACTATTTACAGGCTGCCTAATCGAGATAGGTTTTGAGTCCTTGATAAACAATAAGTCTTTGCAATCCTTTATTGATTAGAAGATCACTTCAGTAGGTTTAAGGCAATAAACCTTCTTACATTCTCCCACTTGATCAAATAATCAATTTAGACTTATTGTTCATCACTTAATGGCCATGTGGAACTCAAAACTCTCTTGTTCCTTTTATCAAGGCACTATCATTTTTAGAATTCATAAGGGACTATCGAAGTGCACTGGATATATAATATCCAAGACTTTTATAACCACATATATGAATCTGCAAAACACATAAGGCTTCCAACTAGATTGAAAAACGAGAACCTGTTTGGTTTTACTGTAAGTGTGACAAAACAAAACAGTTCTTTGCTCACCCTTCAAGACTACCAAGGTCTCCTTTTAAACAAACATTAATGACTCATTCATAGATTCAAACTGCAATCAGTATGCTAGCATGATTACAGTTTGGCCTTCATTCTATTTGTCATCCAGAAACAGTAAATGTAGAACATTATATAAAAGCAATTTAATTAAGTCTGCAAAACAAAACTTGCCTAGATAAAACTAGTTAACAAAATCAAAACAAAAACATAACGGTAAAACTCTAGCTCCCACTGACTCCCACTGACTTTAGGTATAAAAACTGAACTGCAATCCCATGCTTGCCATATGTCTGTGAAAAATATGATTAGGCAACCCTTGATTCAAGGGGTCTGCAATTATAAAATCTGTACCAATGTGACTTAGAGTAGTCTCTCCATCTCGAATCTTTTCCTTCGCAGATAAGAACTTTAAATGCAAATGCCTCATTCCACGTGATCTCTTATTTCCTCGTGCAAAATACACTGCTGCAGTATTGTCATTCCATAACTGAATCGGCCTCTGTATTGAATCCACAACTCTCAGCATGGACATGAAATTCTTAAGCCACATTGCCATTGAAGTGGCTTCATAAACTGCCAAGAATTCTGCTTGCATGGTGGAGGTTGTTTCATGCTTTTCCATGCCACTGCAGCTCCTGCAAATAGAAAAACAACTCATGATGTGCATTTCTTAGTGTCCTGACATCCTGCAAAGTCTGCATCTGCATATCCTTCCAGCTGCAATTTTTCAACCTTTCTATAGACCAATTTGTACTATTTAGTTCTCTGTAAGTACCTTAATACCTTCTTGCCTACAATCCAATGTGCTTGGCCTAGGTTAGACTGAAATCTGCTAAGAACACTTATGCAGAATGCCAAGTCTGGTCTAGTGCAGACTTGTGCATACATCAAGCTTCCTACTAATGATGCATAAGGCTTGTCCTTCATCTCTAGTCTCTCTTGCTCAGTTTTAGGGGATTGTTCACTGCTCAATTTGTCACCTTTAGAGAAGGGAACATCACATCCTGTGCAATTGCCCATATTGAACCTCTTAAGCACTTTCTCAATATATGCCTTTGGCATAAACCAATCATCTTTCTTTCTTTGTCCTTGCTGATCTCAATTCCCAGAACGTAGTTTGCCTCCCCTAGATCACTTATATCGAAATTATTTGATAGCATTCTTTTAGTGTCATGCAGCATAGACAAATTGCTACTAGCTAAAAGAATGTCATCCACATATAGCAGCATGAAAATGAATTCCTTCCATTGAATTTCATATAGATACTGTGGGAACCAATTAAATCAA